AGGGTGTGTATCGTGTCCAGGAACAGCTCAGCCATCGTGCGGGTGGATCTATCCAGCCTCATTATGTTTTCAACCTCTGGAAGGGGTTGCCTCCCATCACCTTTCTCATGGTGCCCTGTGCGCGCACAGGGAAGTCCGGGTTTCCACGAACTGCACTTTTCTGGACAGTGATCTCAGATGTCCCACCTGGTATCTGTTAAAGCCACTCCCTCTATTTTGGTTTCACAGCCTTCAAGTGCTCCTATCACAACTGGCACAACTACTGCCTTCACTTTCCACATCCGTTATAGCTCCTCCTTCAGTCCTTCCTTCTTTCTTCTTCCTGATATTGTGGTCACTGGGTATTGCCATATCCACCACCACTGCAGTTTTCCATTAATTGTCTACCACCACAATGTCAGGTTGGTTAGCCACTATTTGCTTGTGTGGATCTGAAATTTCCACACAATCATAGCCCTGTTATTTTCAACTACACATTGTGGTATCTCCCATCAGGACTTAGGCAGGTTCAACTCTGTGCTAGATTGTCTAAAAGGCTTCTTTGCAAAGTCAGCACCTTGGTCTTGTATGGTGTTGTAGACCGTCGCTTCTATTGATTTTGTGCTGAGTGCCTGTTCCTGTGTCCCTTTTAAATGTATTAAAAATGTTAAGGGATCACTATAGTGTCAGGAAAACAAACTAATTTTCCTGACACTATAGCATCCTTAAGAGCCCCCCACCCTCAGCGCTGGTGACCTCTCCTCCCCCTCCAACATCGGCTCCCAAGTGGAGCGGAATGCACATGCACGGCAAGAGCCCGGCGTGCATTCAAACAGTCCATAGGAAAGCATTTCTCAATGCTTTCCTAAGGAAGTTCTGCACGCTGGATGCGAATTTCGCATCCAGTGTCACAGAATCGCCTCTAGCAGCTGTCAGAAAGACAGCCACTAGAGGTTGGATTAACCCTGCAATGTAAACATAGTTTCTCTGAAACTGCTATGTTTACATCTGAAGGGTTAAAACCTGGTGGACCTGGCACCCAGATCATTGAGCTGAAGTGGCCTGGGTGACTATTGTGTCCCTTTAAGCATGTGGCTCAGTTTTGTGCAGCACTGTGGAATACATTGGACACATTAAAATAATGATTTGCCCTCTAACTCACTTAGACTGCAAGCAATCTCCATAATGTTTTACTGTACAGCAACTAGTTCATAAACTCATTGAATTTTATAGACCTGTGATATAAAACACATTTGCTATTGTATTTTTACCTTCTGAGATAAGACATATCTTCCAATTTAAATGTTTCCCAAGACTTTTACAACTGAAGATATCTATGTGTATTGTACATTCGCATTACAGCAATAAAACATATTAAGATATTGTTGCTACAAACTCTTCTATAGTAAAGGTGTCATCATCTTGAACACTTTCTTGAATAAACTTAGGAAGCACACCTTGATGACTGAGTGTATTAAGCGTTGTAGATCCTTGCGTAGGTTCCTACCACTAATCTATGCAATAAAAATGCCGCAGCGAGCTCCATAGATGCTAATAGTATATGTCCTAGGATGAGCATTGCATATTAAAATTTATCACACTGAAAACTAGGGAGGTTCAAGAAAAATGTTCTACATGTATGGATATTATAAAGTCATTTTCCACCTCTATTGCTAACTTGTATTTCCGTGGGAGACCTTGAATACTATTAGAATTTACAAACACCTTTTACTGTCTCTCTATTTAAGCTTTTTGCAAGATCCAGAAACTCTAACTGCTCAGTATAGAGTAATAGAACATTCTGGCCAATCCTCTTTCTTTCATTAAAAAATGGGATTACTTAATGTGTACATGCATATACATCCCCATTTCGCTCAATACATGTTTTTAATACTGAATAAAGTAAATGAAAACTATTCAGGACTGTAACGTGAATATGCCAGTAACAAAGAGCGGTGCACACTGATCATTAAGCAGAACGTGTAAATCACATGGAATATCTATCAAAATAAGATTTTGGCTTGCAGTTAAAATATTGTTGTGTACAGGATACATACTTGCCAACTGTCCTTTTTTTCAATCTGACAGTGCTGTTATTTGGCCCTGTCCTGTTATATTAATGTTCTGGGACTCTGTCCCTGTATTCTAAAAATGTGTTCCTTATCACTAAGATTGGTAGGCAAAGTTAGAACTCTGCCACCTGTGCAGAACACCCCAGAGTGCTGTGGTTTAATGTGTGCCAAGATCTGACTGCTCTCTAGATTGCACTGCATGGCTAATACGCCTCTGACCTGTCGGTGTATGTGTTAACTTAGCAGTAAACTTGTTTATTAAGTTTATGTATTGTAAGGCAGAGAGTGGTGTGAATAGGTGCTAGAGCTGGGCAAGTATCCTCTCAAAGAATTTTAACACTGGCTCCTGAGTCCCCCAGGTTGGGTGGGGGGGAGGCATTGAGCATTATTAAAGCCAGGTAGGCTCAGTGGGCTGGGAGAACACCCATATATTATTTTCTTATTCTTTTGCGGATGGACATTGCTCTTGATTTCTCTATACCCATTCTGCCTGAAGCATCTGTTGAATTTATAGTGGGATGGCGGCCTGAGCCTCCAGCAACTAGGGGAGGGTAATATGAAGCACTATATTAAATAGTGCACACTTGCCAATATTCCCTGCCCACCTCCTTCCCAGAAGAAGAGGACGACAGGATACACAGGGTATTGTGCAAGGGCTGGATCTGCTCTGGGCAATTACCTGCCTCTTGAGTTTATCTCTGACGCGTTAACCAAACCAGGTACCTTTTCCCTGTTTGGAAGCCAGAAACAAGGATAATATATAAAGGTGCCAATTTCTATTAAAATGTGCACTTTTTGTAAATGGGAAAAAAAGAGGTCATACTCTTCATACATAAAGCATTTTAGCAAGCTATAGTGCTTTAGGGGTTCAAGAAAAACAAAAACGGAAACAGCCCAAAGCAGATCTATAAAACCATTCCAAAGCATATACGCTGTGTTTTTATTCATCAGATGATTTTACCAATACTGGTGATTTCTTTTCTACATATAACTTTCAGTTGCTTAATTTCCTCTTTTATGCCAACGTGTCATCTGCTCCACTTTGCAATTGTTGCATCTGTCTAGAATAAGCCATTCCTCCTTCATGAGAGAGGAAATAACTCACATACTTCACAGGATGCTTTGTGCAGAGCATGATAAGCTGGAAAGGCAGCTGTCTCTGGAACTAGTTTACATAGAATAGATTTCAGGAAAGGGATTTAGCATTAGAAATGCGTTGCTTGCACTATAAAAAGCTCTTGGGGTCAGGAAAACTCAGAAAATGGGTATTTGGTGCTAATTAGGCAAACTGCCAATTCTCCCTTGGTTGGGAGGAAAGGAGATTAGGTGTCATGAATGTTTCCAGACATTATCATAAGTGACATTTCCACAATGCAGCCAAGCAGGCAGTTTCTGTAATGCTGTATGATAAACTAGTTATATCGGTGGAGTCACCATGTCTCAAATCCTTTAAAATCCGGACAGCTGCATGGATGGGAATTTATCTCCACCCCCCCCCAAGATCTCTTAATTAAAGTTGGTTTAAGAAGAACTGACTGAATTAGTCATGCATTAAAGCATCATATTAAAGGGGATGGATGCATGTTTTTTTTAGAGTGCGTTTGGCTTTTTGTGTAACATAAAAAGGGGGTAAGTTTGGTTCCTACATCTAAGCAGACATCAAATATTAGAGAAAAAAAAAAAATTACCGCAGTGACCAAACTACATACATGAAAAAAATAATTGCAGTGCACTCAGACTACAAAAAAAAAAAAACCAACACAAAGGCGGCTTCTAAATTGCCTAATAAATATGGGGATTTAGTAATAATTAGGCGGTCTGCAGGAACATTCTAAATAAGTGAATGCATCTTTATTTCCTCTAGATTGTAAAAATGTTTGAGCATTGTCCTCGATAGCCTTGTCTCCAGTTACTATTTGCTATAGTTTACTTGCTATTATACCCTCATGTTATAATGGGAAAGAGCTGTGGAACATGTTGGCGCTATATTAAGGCTAATAATAATCCTAATACTCAAGGAATGAACAATGGGTCTCTATTGCCCATTAAATATAAAAGACATACAGAATCTAATCCTCTCTCTTTTAGCAATTACATTTTTGAAGGTGATAAGTTAAAGTATGGATAACGTACAAATGTCTGTGACCTACCATAAGGCGATTTTTCCCACTCTCCACTGTCAGACCAAATGGGTTACAATCTAACGCAGTGATGGCTAACCTTGACACCAAAAAATTGTTTCTGGACTACATTTCCCATGATGCTCAGCTAGCTTTTAGTGTCTAAAAGCTACCTGAGCATCATGGGAAATGTAGTCCAGAAACAATTTATGGTGTCAAGGTTAGCCATCACTGATCTAGCTAGTCTACTTATGTGTGCTTACGGCCTAGCCTTAGACAAAAGATATATCTAGTTTTATTTATTTTATTACACATTTGGTAGCAGCAGATTTTATTAGAATTCCAAACACTGTTGATAAACCGTTTTTGCCAGATTCCGTCGTTATCAGGGTTACTTCAACACACAACTGCCAATGTCCATCACAAGAGCATCAGGAGGTTACCTCTATTCATTCACTGAAATGTGCATGGGCAGAATATGGAGCGCAGCAGTCAACACGAATTCTTGAAATGGTAATACCAAGGCTGTATAATTTATACATCACCTCATTAACAGTTTTAGACTGAAAATACTTTTGCTATTGGACATGCATTTGAGTTATCTTTACACTAAATTCTACATTTGATAATTAGGTAACAATTTGCTTTGATATTAGTAATAAAAGAATATATATATATATGTATATTTGCAGTCTACATTTTGTAGTTTATTTTTAGTTAATTAGTTAACCTGTTACTAATCTTGAAGTTTAATTTCTCAAGATGAATAAATAAAATCAGTCTTCTAATTAAACATTAGTTCCTTGATATGTTTTTCTGTTTGCTCCAATTTAAAAACAAAATGGCTCCATGTATGCAAGAGAAAGGTTCTGAAAATGTAAAATTCGCAATGAAAGTCAAACAAACAAACCACGACTATGACAAAATCCATTTTATTTATCTTATAAAATGCTGAAATACCAAAACACATCCTCTACAAGTAGACTATTAAACATGGCAATGTCGTTCGCTCCCTCTAGGCCTGGGGACTCCACTTAATGCCTTCCTCATGATGAGATTGTGACAGTCTTACAAAACGTTTCCAGGAGATGAAAAATACAATGTGCAGTATAGACAGCAGGCAGCCAAAAGGAGTTTGATGATTTGTAGGTGGAACCATGGGAGAGGAACTCTAGTATACTTTATATAGACATTTACAGTAACAGCTAGGGTAGTTTTATTTTAACTACTACATTTGACCAACAATGCCATTAAGAAAGCATACCTTAACTCTGCTAGATGGTAAGGTAACATTTTAAGTGACCTTTTTTATTCATGTTTCCACTCATTACAAAACTGCAAAAATTCTTCTCAAGTCCAAAAAACAGAATGTGTTTATCAGATATGACACGAAAAGTTACAGTTACATCTTCTGTTTCCAGTTTGGTTACATAGGTGTGCGTGTAGGCCTTAATGACCTGGAACAATTCCATAAATACAAAGAGAAGGGAAGTTTTAGAGAGATAAAGGCATGCAGAGTTCTACCAAGAGAAGAGATGCATAGGCTTGGCAAAGCAAGATCGTTTTTTTTTTTTTTGGCCTGGACAGCTTTTTTTTTTAGTCATCTTTGTCTTTAGCGCCATGTTTTAGGATACGTGTAAACTCAATGTAGTTGAAATTTCCCTTCTTGTCGATTGGCGCCTCTCTGAAAAGCTCATCCACTTCCTCATCTGTAAATCGGTCACCCATAGTAGTCAGCAGCTCTCTGAGGTTCTCCTCTTGAATGAAACCTACAAACAAATGCAATGAAATTTTGAGGTAACTGGAAAATTTTAAGAACGGTACATTTTCTGGAAAAATAAATAAATGAAAAAGTTACACACACACACACTTTACTGAACCCCTTCAGTTTATTAGATAAAACTTAGAATAGGAACTACAAGTAAGGATCAACACGCCCACTTATTGTAAAACCGTATTCTACAGAGAAACCTCCCTGACTGGTGGAATAAAACAGTGTGTGTGTGTGTGTGTATATAATATTATTTATACACATATATACACACACACACACAAACACACAAACCTCCTCCCCCTTTAAATGCATTAAATCTTGTTTTAGCATGCCTTTCTTTAAAAAGATTCCAATTGACCTTCTATTTCGGGAAATATTAAACCGCCTGATTTACCCCTCTCACCCCCACAGAATGTGCATATCAAATGGTTTAAGCCAGCCACACTGTGAAATGCTTTGAGAAACAATGACCTTTCAGATTGTACAATGTAATGCCAAGCTAAAAGTTTAACCTCTTAAAAAGGACAGATGAAGGTATATGCTGTCAAAACAACCTCCTTGCTATTCAGTACCTGCAGAGCTGTATTGCACGGAGTGTTAAAAGGGATACTATAGGCATCAATGCAACTTTAGCTTAAGTTATGGTATGTTGATTATGCTCCTGCAGTCTTACTGCTCAATTCTCTGCCATTTAGGAGTCACTTTTCTCCTGCTTCTGCCGCCCTTGTCATGCCTCCACTGGATGGCCCTGACACAGACTGAATAAAATCAAATCAGATGTTAACCAGCTTTAGAAATTTGTATCTTTTGCTCTGGAAATTGAACTGTAATCTCTTGGGTGCTCCTACAGGATCTAGAAGGCCAATAACAGAGCAGGAGATAAAAATTCTAAATTAAGCATAATGTACAATGAAGGACATTTAAACATAAGTGCTCTCTTTACTGTATGTGTTTAGGTGGGCTGTGCAAGTCACATGTATGAAGTTGGGACTAGGGCTGTATAAACAAAGATTTAACTTCTAAATGGCAGATAATTTAGCAGTGATACTGCAGGGACAGGAGCTATACACCAAAACTGCTTCATTAAGCTAAATTTCTTTTTGGTGTTCCTTTAAATAATAAGGTCATTTCATACTGAAATAAGATCTTTAGGAACCAGACTGTGTTGTCAGCAGAGGGCAATATTAAGTCTTTAAAAATGTACATCCCAATGTAAAGTTTTGCAAATCTAGACTATAAATCTACCTTTACAAAAAGTATACTAGCAAACTCCCAGTTGAAGGGCAAACCCTCTTAAATGGACACTAAAAGCACCCAGACCACTTCATCTCATTGCAGTGATTTGGATGCAGTGGACCTGCCCTTAACTCCTCAATGTAAAACACTGCCGTTTCAGAGAATGTTTACAAGACTGCCTCTAGTGGCTGTCTACCAGGCATTTTCAGGGAGTTTGACATCCTCACACTGTGCATGAAAACGTCCAGTGGGTAAAAAACAAAAACACAAAAAAAAAAAAAAACCCATATGGGTAAGCCTTGAGTCAAAACTTTGCTGTGAGGAAAGCATAATGTGTGTGCAACCGCTGTGCATGCGCATTAGGTTCTAGGATTGCACAGATGTCGGTGGAGCCCAATCCAGGTCCAAGGGACATCGGTGCTGATAGCAGGTTAAGTGTTTAAAGTTATTTTTTTTTTTTATTTAACCCTTTATATGGCATGGGGAAGAGGAACACTGTAGTGCAAGCAATACATCATTGTGTTCCGAACACTAGTGTTTCTTTAAGTTAACACTGATTGCAATTTTACATAGGGAAGAAAATCAAAATATGTGCATTTTTTGTTATGCAGCTGCAATATGTAATAAATATTGCAGTTTTTTGTTTTGTTTTTTTTACATTCACAAGCTGGGGTAACAGGAAAAAGTGAGCAAAGTTTAGATTGTGTGAGATTTAGTCCGAAAGCACCAGAGTAAATCTGGAATGGAATTTTTTTTTATCCTGCCACAAAACCCATGAGACGTTTTAAGAGGTCTAGTAAATGAATACATATTTTTACTCAAAACACTTGCAAATGTTTTAGCAGTTTAACGACTTCATATAATCCAACCTTAATAAAACCAAGTTATTGCTAAGAAAACATATGTATTTTAAAACAAATTCAAATAATATTTTCAAAGCAAAACTCCAATTTAGCTTTATCTATTGCCTATAGTACTAGTTTGTACTGTACAAAAAAACACCGTAGGGACTACCTGGTACCCAAAACCCATTGACACTGCTGGTGGAATCATAATGGCACTCTATGGGGAATTTGACCATACAAAAATGCTGCCACATCAACACAGGCTCCCTATCATGTTCGGTGCAGGGGAAAGGCTTTAGTTGCAGAGGAATACCCAGTTATTTATGATGTGCTTGAAAGCAGTTTGTCACAACTCAAAAAAGGCCTTCACTTATAGCCTCATTACACCACAATCACTCTATATACTGTTTATTTACCAGGCAAGCACAGATTTATAAAGTTGAGGAGTTTAATTTTGTTACCATTAAAAGTTGTCAAATCCCTCCCCAAAAAAAAAGGTATACTCAAGGAACCAAAACCACTTCATCCCACAGCCCTGCCACTCTCTGCAGCTCTGGCTGTTGACAGTAGGCAGGCTTAATGCATTGGTTGAGCACTCTCAGTCTTCTATTGCCATCATCACTGGTTTGAATTGGATCTGACTAATATGGAGTTACACTTTTAATTAGGCATGCAACCAGTAGGAAGAGACACATTCAACACCAAACCTTTTGAGATTGGTTAGACATGGAACAGAGGGGCAACATCATGGCAATCCAAGCAACATAACCACTTCACTGAGTTTTTATGGTAAATGGTGTATCCATTTGATACCAAAGCATGAAGAAAGCTTACTGTAGAAAAACTTGTTACTCACCTGTTCCTTCTTCATCAAAACATGCAAATGCATTCCTGATGACATCTTCAGGGTCTGTACCATTCAGCTTCTCACCAAACATGGTAAGGAACATGGTAAAGTTAATAGGTCCAGGAGCTTCATTCATCATGGCCTCTAGGTACTCATCAGTAGGGTTCTTACCTAAAGAAAACCCACACAAATAAGGACTTTAGAAAAATAATGGTGAGACTATACACTGACAAAATTATCAAAATTATACTGCAATAAAAATGAAGGTAAACCCTACAAAAGAGTTAAAATAAAAACAAAAACAGACATTTGTATCACATACAATTTGGTCAGGATCACAACCCTATTAAGGACTCAATCTTGTACAATAGGCACGTTTTAATCAATTCCTTTGCACGTTTTTCCACTCAGCAGCAGTAGTGATGCAGTTATTTGAGGTGGGTAGATGCATCCATTGTACTGGAGAGGAGGCAATGATTTTCTGAACATTTCAGCTTGCTATAGTAAGCCATATTTGTGACCATTTATAAAATAGATTGACAAGCATAAGAAAAGCTGTGATTACACACACACACACACACAAGATTCTGATTGGAGTATTCCCCGAAACAGATTGTGATGGGGAAAGTAAGGGCTGCTTGAAAAAAAATCATGATGATAATTAAAGAGATTTAATGTGAAAATGGATGCTGTCCACAAGTGTAAAAAAAGATAATAAAATGTAGAAATCCACACCTTTCTCCTGCAACCAATACTCCTTATAAGCTCTTTGTCAATTTTATACATGTTTGTATAGGGTTAGCGTTAACTATCAAAAATTAATTAAGATTATAAACACATTAGGCATTTAAAAATCAAGACTGATACATGAAGCTAATTTTTTTTTTTTTTAGTTGCACTGGAAGAGTGAAAATTATTAAAATACTTTAGTGTCAACCCCTTATTGTTGACATTTATTCCCACGTAATGTTGTGTTAAGTATACATACACTGTTAAAGTCGCTACTGTCCTTTGAAAGAGGAAATATATGTACAGGAGCACATTAAGAAAAACCCTTAAAATTTGATGGAATAAACCTATAGCCCAAATTAATGTTTTTGTTTTGATCCAGAATGTGGACAATTGCCATTAAACGATTAAAGTATAAAACAAAGCAATATGTATTAAAAAGAACTCTCCCAAACGTTAATTTACCTCGGGACATTTGATCATTTCTTTTCAAACAGTCATTTTAAAACAATTTCTGTGATATAGATATAGATATATATATATATATATATATATATATATATATTTTTTTTTTTAAATAGTCTCACTGAAATGTTGCTGTAAAGCTTACAAATCTCATTAAAAGGAATACTATAGTATTCAGAATACGAAACTGTATTTCTAACACTAAAGGGTACCTAAGCCACTGTGCCCTCCGCTCCGTCCATGAAAGGGTTAAATAAACCTTTAAAACACTCTTACCTGATTTCACAAAGTTAACTCCATGTAAATGCCGGAAGTAACTCTGTGGCAATATAAACATTAGATTTGTGGAGATGAGGGGACAGGGTCACTGCACCCAGACCACTTCAATGAGATGAAGTGGTCTGGGTGCCTATAATGTCCCTTTAATGATATTTCAGTAATATGATTAATGTGCCTTCATAAAAATAAATAAAAAGCTTTAGTTTTTTTCTTATCTTGCATCAAGAGCCAAGTAAAGAGAGGAGCCTGTGACTAGACAGTTTCATCAGCTCAGAACACGCGCAAGTGATTTGAGCCAAGGGGGATGTAGGTAAGGGAATGAAAGGAGGGGGAAAAAAACAAAACAAACACTACTGGCATTATAGGGAGGCAGAGAGGGCACAGGGTATTGAAGGATGGAGGAGACACCCACACCTGCAAGGGATAAGGTAAATACGTCAGTTGCCTGCGTGCAGTGTGCGCTGACGACCAACCTATTTCATGCACAGAATTGACATTAATCAGACTGGAAAAGCGTTCCTGGCTGCCAAAGTCACGTGTGCTAGGAATGTAACTAACTCCCAGCCTATGTGCACACTTCTCTGTATGTGCAGCATTTCAAGAAGAAACTCTGCACATACTATGCTTACATTTCCTCTTGGGACAGACAGACAGACATACAAACAATAAAACAAAAGGCCCCTAACAATATGAAACAAAAAAGGTAGAAGGCACATGCTGCAGTTTTATTGATACAAAACAACAACTATTTAAGACAATGTATTACATTGTCCCTGCAAATCGTATAGCATAGATTAGTTGTTTTTTTTTTTGTAAAATAAACTTTACTCACAAAGTGGTATTCAAGATACCTGAAAAAGGCTCCTGGTGTCAGATTATGCAGAATCACCAGATTTGTAGCCATAGTTACTTACCAAGAGAAGCAAGCATGTCGTGCAGGTCTTCTTTATCAATAAAGCCGTCACGGTTCTGATCAATCATGTTGAAAGCCTCCTTAAACTCCTGAATTTGGGATTGATCAAACATGGCAAACACATTGGATGTTGCACGCTGAGGGCGCTTCTTTGTGGTCTTTGTCTTTGCTCTTTTACTTGACATTTTAGCGGTTTGTTAGTCTTCTAGTAAAAGAGAAAAAATAATTATTTGTAAATGTACTTGACCAATAAGTACGAATTCTAATACGCGAAGACATACAGCCACAGTGAATATCACTGCCATTATGAGTTGTGCTACACCATGGAACCAGGCATCTTAATGCTTGCAGAATACATAACCTCCTCAAGATCTTTCCAAATTCCACTTTTCCTACTTCTTTATATAGTGAAAAATAATTTTTTGTTCCTGGAAGTGCACATGAGGTTCAAGACTCCCAAGCAAGGAGGATTTTATAGAAGAAGAGAGCATAGCATTTTAAATTTCGGCAAAGTACCGAGTGGGGAGTACTTTAGGCTGCAACAAAAACTGCAGGTCACCCTGACATGTTGAAATATTTATAGGAGGAGAGCGAAAGTAATGTTCCTTCCTTGTAAACAGGGCCGGACTGGGAAAAAAATGTGGCCTGGGCATTTTTTTTGAATCACAGCTGTCCACTAAGAAGGCGAAGGTGGTTTGAAATCACCAATGACAAGCATGCCTCCTCTCAAAAGTGAGCATGTTGGTTCAATGCTCTTCCTGGGCAGAGTATGCGCAGAGCCCTGCTGAAGAGCTCTCGCATAAGAAAAAGGCCCTGTTTTTGTTCTGCACAGCGCAAGCAAGTTTATTTACATGCTTGCACTGTGTTTGCTTGTGACTTGTCTCTGGTGCCTCCATAAGTGGGATAACAAAGGACAAAAGGGCCAGGAAAGAATATTGTACATGTGTTTAGAGTGGATTGTGGTGTGGTGTTTTGTGTAAATGTTGGATTCAGTTGTGTTTGTGATGTAATGTGTGACTAGGAATGTAGCGAGTGTATAGGGTTGTAAAATGTTTGTTTACAGGGGAGGGAGTGTGTGTGTGTGTCTATATATATTTTAATATTATTAGAGGATATTAGAGGATCCAAAGCTGTGTACAGGATCTAGTGTGTGTCTGGAATGTAATGTGTATAGGGGGTGCAATATAAAAAAATTTATACTTTTAATATTAATAAAATATATAGTTTATGTCCTCCCTCCCTTTTTACCTTTGCCTAGGTGGTCTGTGAACACTACCCTGCAGTTCCTGGGGTAGAGCGGACTCTCGTGGGTTCGGAGCGTTGTCTTAGTAACCGCAGAGACGTTCCAACCTGGAGAGGGAAACACCGCGGAGCTGCAGGATAGAGCTCCCCCGGGTCCTCCCTCGCACCACACTTCCTGTGGGGAGATAGCTTATCTCCCCACAGGCCCATGAAGGCACACAGCAGGCCCTGCGTTTGCATAGCACTAGCCCTGCATGGGCCAGTAAAGGAGATACACTCTTCCCTCTCAGCCTCAGCTCATGGCCATCGTGGCCCACCGGGCATTTGTATGGTATGCCAGATGGCAAGTCCTGGCCTGCTTGTAATCCTCACAAATGTAGATATTCAGGGACACAAAATATGGATTTTTTATTTATTTATTTTTAATTTTTTTTAGAGAAAATGCAGCGAGGAGATGCGGATTGGCCAGGGCTGTGTGACTTGTGCTGGCTCTGCCTCCTTGACAGTCTCAGCCAATCCTATTGGGAAGTCATTGGCTCAGACCACCACTTCTGATGAAGTCAGCAGAGAGGCAGTTTCAGAGGCAGACAGGGGCACAGCCAGCAGCTGCAGAATTGAAAACAAGTAAGATTTTACTCTTATTTATAAGATATTTAGGGAGGGCAGTTGGTGGTTTTAACACTATAGGAATACATGTTAGTTTTCCTGATCCTATAGTGTTCCTTTAATGAAGCAGTTTTGTTGTATAGATCAGTGTTCCCCAACCCAGTCCTCATGGCCCACCAACAGTCCAGATTTTGTCAGTATCTCCATTGGAATAAAACAGGGACACACAAATCCTGGACTGTTGGTGGTCCATGAGAATTGGGTTGGGGAACACTGGTATAGATCATGCCCCTGCAGTCTCACTGTTTTATTCTGTCATTTAGGAATGAAATCACTGTTTTGCAAAATCTGTTTAATTAAGAATGTCTTATCTCTGGCAATGTTAACTTTCTAAATATTGCAGGAGCCTCCTGTATGGGATTCAAGATCAACTTACAGCGCAAGAGATACAAACTTCTAAAATAAGCAACATGTCATTAAAGTGAAAAAAAAAAAAAATGTTTTCCCCACACAGGCTGCTTCAGTCAGTCAAGGGAAGTGCAGCTAAACTGCATAAAAATAAAAAAAGATTATTTAACTCCTAAATGGCAGAGAATTGAGTAGTGCAGAGCTTGACAATCCCAGGCACCACGAAACTTGTTCTGGCACCTGGGATTTGTGAGCCTGTTTAGCCCCCCCGAGGTGACCGGCTGCCTGAGAGCAGAGGCGGGCAGTCGGATCACAGAGGACTGAGGCAGGCGGCCGGCTCATTGAGAGCTGTGAGAAGGAGGCAGGAGGCTTACAGAGGGAGTGGAGCAGCCGAGTAATGGAGAGAAGAGTGAGGCGGGTGGACGGATGACAATGCCGCGGCGAGGGAGCTGTACTCTCCCTGCTCTGCTCCCTCGCGTGGCTTGTAGGGATGCCAGGAACCGGGGTTTGAAGTCACTCTGCGCGAGAGGGAGCAGAGTAGGGAGATGACAGCAGCCCCATTGAACCCCAGGGAAAGCCTATCCACTCCAGCTCTCCAGAAGTACGGAGTCCAGGTGGATTTAAATAAAGTAGTGAGCGTGTGTCCGTCTGAGTGTTTTTACTCACCCTTTCCCCCACGCCATGCTGATGATGATGCTGCGGCTGGCCCCACCTCCATGGCTGAGATTATCAATCTTGACGATATCAGCCAATCCAATGCTTCTCCATAGGAAAGCATTGGAAGACTATTGCGCATGCACGGCAAAATGCCACTGCGCCAATTTAACTTCTCATAGAGGTGCATTGAATCAATGCATTCTTATAGGGAACATTAATATAGGTGCTGCACATTGTGAAGCACTGACCCAGGAAGTACCTCTAGAGGCAGTCTGAGTGACGGTCGCTAGAGGCGTCACCAGGCAGCAATGTAAACACTGCCTTTTGTCTGAGAAGTCAGTGTTTACATTGAAAAGCGTTCAGGGACAGGATATAGATTTCAGAACAACTGCATTAAGCTGCAGTGGTTCTGGGGACTATAGAATCCCTTTAAGAATTTTATTTTTGGCATTGATTTCTTTGGCTTTTAACTTTTATAGCTGGCTCCTAGATTCCAAGCAAATTTGTCAAGCCCTGGAGTAGTGATACTGCAAGGGCATGATCTATACACCAAAACTACTTCATTAAGCTAAAGTGGTTTTGGTGACTATAGTGTCCCTTTCATCAAGTCTGTTTTCCTGTGTATGCTTTTAACATTCATTGCACCAAAAACATGGGTTATTCTTTAACATTACTTAAAGGGACACTATAGGCACCCACACCACTTCAACTCACTGAAGTGGTATAGATGCTGTGTCCCAGGTTACTTAACCCGGAGCAGAAAATTATTGCAGTTTTTAAGAAACTGCAATAACTACCGGTTAAGGTTAACTCCAACTCTAGTGGCTGTCTACCAGACAGCCACTAAATGGTCTTCTGGTCGGTCGCCTTATGTCCTCACATTCTGCATGGGGACGTCCAGTGTCACCAACAACCCCATAGGAAAGCATTGTATAATCCTTTCATATGGGGAAATCCTAAAGCTGTGCATGTACCTTAGGTTCCCACACCCCTCTCTCGGCTGATGTTGGCTAGGACACCATTTCCTAGACAGAAGAGTGTAAGATTCAGCAAAGCCAATTATTTCTTTTCTATCTGGGAGTCATTTTTTATTGATTTGCAGTCAGAATCAGGCATTGTATCTTAAGGAACGGAGCAATGACAATAGACAAAACGTACCGAAATTTCAAATTAATTTGCAGTATGTTTACAAGGACACGGCAAGGGAAAACAATTAGGTGCTCAAGTTGTTCAAAGCTTATAAAAAAACACTAATGTCTACCCATAAGCATCAGCGGCCAATTATAAGTAGTGTTCAACTAGTCACAGCTACAAAAAGGTTTTGTGATATCATTGCTGATTCAGTTAACAGAAGGTCAAACTCATTGGGTTGACTCGTAGACCCAAAATAAAATAGTACTTTATAAAAAGACATGATATAAACCTGAAAGAATGGAAACCGCTATACAACACTGCACAAGATCACTTCTTAAAATGCCATGTTATTTAACACCATCGTCTCAAATGAACGACCCTCTGTTCTGCTCACATAATGCTTGAGTCAGAAGTAAATGTGCCATTTTAATGTCCTGGAGTAGAAATTTAACGAATATCCTACAAGTAGTTCCCCTGCTATTATCCCCTGGTAAGGGGTCAACCAGGACATGTCCAACTTCCAGTCTACTCTATGCAGATAAAGCAGAAGTTCCAATCCCACCTTAGTTATATAAAGTTTGTGCACGTTTGGCAGAGTGGGTCAGCCATCGGCGCCAGTGACTCTTGGCATCAAAACCTGGCCATATCTAGACCGAGCTAGTAACTCAATGATTTTCTTTAAAATATGAGCAGATTGCGAGGAAAACCAATAGTCAAATAGTTTTCATATAGATTTTCAACAGGTTTGTTTTTGCAGAGTAAATGTAAAAGTTTCCCTTTAGAAACAGTGTGCGTGTGTGATAAGAAACTTGCCACAACAAGTCTGTGGTATGGAGCAGATTTCTACAAGGATGTAGAAAAGTTGGCAAATCAAATTCTTAATGTTTAGAAAACACGTGAATACTTCAAGACTGAGTAATAAATAAATAGCAATGTTAATTCAAAATTTACTAATGCTGTCATGAAATAAGGTTTAACAGCTGGGATTTAGACAAGTGATATGGTATCACTAGATAATTACTGCGGGTAGGTTATTTAAAAAAAGTCTACTTTATAGCAGTCTGGAGTAGATAATCGGTTACAGAAATGACATTTCTGAAGAGCATATCTTTGAAGTTTAGCCTTTCAAGGGCAAACAGGAAGCAGTTTGCTTTTTTTAACCTTCTCTTTAAACACGTTTGTTACTGCATTCTATGTCTTAAGATGTGGGGGAAGGGTCATATGCTAGAAATTTTGAAAAGGAAATTCCTCCAAAACAGCATTCTAGCCGAACGTTGTACAAAGGAAATCACATCCGCAGATAATTCTTTCAATACACAGATCAAGCACTTTGATATTCTGGAGGCATTAATAAGGGACATTCACATTAAACCAGCTGTCACTTCTGGGGGTCTGGCATACTTTGCAATTAAACTTTAAGGTAACATTCCCAACTAATATGCAACAGTCCAGGGAACAAGCTAAAGGGAGTTATACTTACTTGAAATGGTTCCCTGTGGCTGCCGCTATCTTCTTTCTTCAGTTCCTGATCCTTTGTCCATCAGGAGAATCAGTCACTGCTGAACAGAGGTCTATGGAGAATCACAAGTCTTGCAGTATGCAAGAAGATGCTAGCCTTCTACAGCTGTCAATACTGATGGCTGCAGGAACTGGAAAGTGGACAGGAAAGCTATGCCTTTTGTCAACCCTGACTTTGCTCATATGACAAAGTAATAATTCACAGTAGTCCCATTTCAATGAAATTCCAACACATAATTGTTTTGAAATACCCAAAAGTAACAAAGCCACTTAAAAAGGATAAAAGGAATTTTACTCAAACACCAATAAGAAACAATATTGTCTACAGCTCCAGTTGCCAAGAAGTTATTAGTTCCACAACTGATATTCAACTACCTTGATGCTTTGCCAGCTTCATGATTTACAAAGCATTGTCAGCTGCAATCTACTTTTGACCAACCCTGGTATAAAGACTGATTTTTTTGTTTTAGCTTCTAGCTGCAGGAGAGATTTATCAGTGTTCTGCTCTTAAAAAAAAAGTATAAAACATAACAGGGAGGAGTCACCAATAGAACAAGCCTGCTGGTATCATTGGTTTCCATGGTGACTGTCCCACTTTTTGTACCTTAGACCAGCCTGTTAGAAAAATAAATAAATACAAAAAATAAAATAAAAAACACACTTTGATAAATCTCCCCAAACGTTTTTAAACCATATACATTCTGGTAATTAATCAACATAAAAACCCAACCAGAGAAAAGAACCATGTATGGTTTCTTCCATAGTTTGACAACCATGATTAATGAAATCAGTATGCTGAGGTATGCAACGCTTGTCACAGCTGTAGAATATGGTGCTTGTCTCGTCTGCATCATTAATATTCCAAATAGCACTATTTTACAGGATGGTCTGGATTCATGCGGGTGGAGCCATTTTATGACAATGACTTGTTTGTTAGCTGAAACAATAGCCTTTGTGCAAGTGAAATTTAATTTAGTGTCTTTGATGTAGCTTTTTGACAGATGACAGCAGTACAATTTACTTATAAAAGATTAAGGAAATGGGACTGTAATTACCAGTTAATATTTAAAAGAAAAGCAAAACTTGTTTTTAATTAAAAACATTTTCTCGTTATTTAACATTCAGTTAATGAAAATAAACATTATATACTAAATCACCTCCATATTAGTACAAATATAGAATTCTTAGTCATGTCAGTACTATGAAGGTTTTCAGTGGCATTTTGCCGTGCACGTGCAGTAGTCTAATGCTTTCATATGGGAAAGCAGTGGATTAGATCGTCAAGATTGATGATCTCAGCCATGGAGGTGGGGCCAGTCACGGCGTGGTAAAAAAGTGAGTAAAACACATTCCCCATGTGATTGGAGGGAACACACACACACACACACACACACACACACACACAAGACAGACACAAACACTCCAACACACACATTTACAAACACTTTTTTTTATTTTATTTTTTTTATTATTATTTACCCAGCCTCCGTACCTTGAAAAGCTGGAGTGGGTAGGCTTTCCCTGGGGTCCAGTGGGGCTGCTGTCATCTGCCTGCTCATCTCCTTCTCGCTCACGGTTTAGTGAGCCGGAGTGATGTCATAACCAGCATCATTGCAAGCCGCGTAACGGAGCAGGGAGATTACAGTTCCCTCCCTCGCCGCGGCACTAAGTCATCTGCCCGCCTCCCTCAGCTCTCCATGAGCTGTTGTCCGCCCCCCTCCCTCTGTCAGGTGCCCGCTTCCCTCCGCTCTCCATTAACTAGTTGGCCCCTCTGTGATCCGACTGCCCGCCTCTGCTCTCAGGCAGCCAATCACTTGGGGGGCTGAACAGGCTCAGAAATTCCAGGAGCTGGGTCAAATTTCCTGGTTGCCATGGCGACTGGAATTTGTCAAGCCCTGTCTTAAAGTAATATTTTTTTACATTTATATAGCGTCAACTGATTCCACAGCGTTTTACAATATATTGGGGGAAATTTAATAAATTAAACAATTACAAAATTGTACAGGAACAATAGGTTTATGAAGACCCTGCCCAAACAAGTTAGAGTACATATTACTACCTAAATTTCTGCTGAACACAGCAACAAGTAATGTAAATATCGACTAAAAATTATAACAAATTGGCCCTAAACAACAAACTACTTTGGATCAGGTACATGAACTACAGTGAAGACACACAACAAACAAATGATAGGCTGACAGCAGTGCAGACTCATTAGCAGAGTGTGTCAAAACATTAATTATATGCATAATGCAGAAACAATTTTGGCAGTTGAAGAGTGCCTTGGGTTTTATAAATTAATTCTAAAAAGGGATTGAGAGTAAAATACACAAGCAAAACAAAGGATGGTATCTATAGATGGGTCAATCTAATTTTAGCCACCCAGTGAGAAAAATAGTATTTAAAGGGACACTATAGTCACCAAAACAACGTTGGCATAATGAAGCAGTTTTGGTGTAAAGAAGACGCCCCTGCAGCCTCTCTGCCATTTAGGAGTTAAATCACTTTGTTTATGAAGCCTAGTCACACCTCCCTGCATGTAACTTGCATTGCCTTCATAAACACTTCCTGTAAAGAGTCATCTAAAGTTTATCCTTCCTTTATTGCAAGTTCTGTTTAATTAAGATTTTCTTATCCCCTGCTATGTTAATAGCTTGCTAGAGCCTCCTGTATGTGATTAAAGTTCAATTTACAGAGAAAGAGATACAATTGTTTAAGGTAAATTACATTTGATTGAAAGTGAAACCAGTTTGTTTATTTTCATGCAGGCTGTGTCAATCATAGCCAGGGGAGGTGTGGCAAGGGCTGCATAAACAGAAATAAAGTGGTTTAACTCCTAAATGGCAGAGAATTGAGCTGTAAAACCTAAGAAGCATGATCTATACACTAAAACTGCTTCATTAAGCTAAAGTTGTTTAGGTGATTATAGTGTTCCTTTAAATGGGAGCCGATGAATAGCAGAGAGTGTGAATAGAGAAAGCTAAGATTTTGGGTAACGCTGGAAATTGGTTTAATCCCTGATGCAAGATGACACACCTACCAAACTGGGCATCCTGTTTTGTACACCACTTAGAAGAAAAACAAAAGAAAGATCACCACAAGGTCAAAAGGACCAAATTTGGCAATATGTCAGTGCGGATAGTACCAGGCTATCTTGAGTATAAACCAGCAAACAGGAGGGTGATCAACTAGAAAGGATCCCCAACCGTATCAAGAGAAAAGCCACACAGTAAATGTTTTTGCACTAAATATGTACAATAAAAAAAAAAAAAACAGGTACAAATTTGACACAAAGTAGTGTGGTTACCTCTTTCAAAAGTTCCAATGCGTGGGCAATGCCAAAATATGTGCAAATGAGTATTGACAATTAAACAAATGTCTGTTACTACCACTAGCTCTTACTTCCAGCTATTCACTCTTCTCTCACTCCCAACTCTCTAAGTTATACTTTCCATGGACTATGCAGAATCAGCCCTGTCCTGGTGTCACTCACATAAGACATGCGTTTTACCATGACCACATTTTTAATTACTCTTATAGCTGCTGAAACTTAAAGGAACACTATAGTGTCAAGACTGCAAACATGTATTCCTGACATAGTTCTAAAAGTGCAGTTTAGGCCCCCCATGCACTTTAAACAAGTGTAAAACTCCCCTTTTTTCAGTGCCGCACAGGTCTCGAGGCTGCTGGCCCCACCGCCGATCTCAGCCAATTCAATGTTTTCCCATAGGAAAGCATTGGGAGGCTATTGCGCATACGTGGCAGAATGCTGCACCAATCAGCATTTCCTCATAGAGATGTGTTGAATCAAAGCATGAAGACGCTAAACATTGTGCAGCACTGATCCAGGAGGCACTTCTCATGGCCGTCTGGGTGACTGCCACTAGAGGTGTTACGAGGCAGCAATGTAAACACTGCCTTTTACCTGGCTACTTTTACTCACATACATTTTTGTACTATTCCAGTAGAGTGCACAGCTGAGGTTTTCAGGAGTTGTACTGCAGCGGTCATGTTTCCCCAGAAAAAAATCTAACAACCGAATTAGAACTCTTATAAACCTCTGCTGTGCCGAGCTGTATGGGTAAAGACCCAGAACATTATGGGTGCGTTTAGAGAATGACCCTGTAAGTAAAGCAATAGGTTGTTTCATAGGAGACAGTGGAAGAAGGATCCATGTTGCATTGCATATAACTGGAATGATTTACAAAACCTACTGCAGCTGCAAGTATGCCCTCTTTCCACCAGACAGAAATTCTATGCTTCCACCTGAGACAATCAAAATATTTGTATGGTTTGTGTATACTCTGCACAGTCCCGTTACAAAACTGTGAATGAGACTGTCTGCAATCTGGCCACAGTAAGGCTACCAACAGCTGATTCAAACAGGATGAATGGAACTGCTGCTGGGGCTGACCTACATGTCCTGTAAATCCATAAATGTTTACAAGTCAAATGAGAGGCTTCAGATTGTGACATTCACACTGGTCTGAAGCTGCTTACTAGTAGACTAATATATATATATATATATATATATATATATATATATATATATATACACACACACACACATACATATATACATATATACACACACACACACTTTTTTTTATAAGAACACTAACCAGCATAATCACTACAACATATAGTACTGTAAAAGTGACCTCTACAGTACCATATCCACATGTTAAAGTGGTTATGCTGGTTAGTGTTAATTTGTTTCCGTTCATCAATATGTATATAAATTCAACAAACAATTGAAATGGATTTCCAAACAGTGCCAGGATTCCACTGATGTTGTCTAAACCTTGTGGTGAGGGCCGCCTGCAGTGCTTCTTAGTTACAATGATAAAGCAGATGTTCATTCTTCTGCATTATAACTTTAGACAGTATTTATTTGTTGAGAGTTGACATTAAGGCCAGTGAGATGGCTCAATGAGCTAATGGATTAGCAGTAGAATCTGTTCATCCCTTCGTGAGTGTTGCAAATTCAAATGCCAGCAGAGTTGACTCAGCCCTTCAGGTCAACTACCTTCCCAGGTAGATAGATAAAGGTAGTACCGTTAAATTGGGTAATAGTAACATCCCCAGGACATACTTGGAAACCCGAGTAATGTGAATGTTAAATACTCTACTACTACTACTATTTATTATTAACCAACCAGTTAACACCAATAAAAACAGTCTAAACTTGGTAGACTAAAATAGTATATAATAGAATACATTCATATATACACACAAACACTATCACAAACCAGAAAAGCCATAAGCATCCAAAACAGCAATGTATTTGCTCTGGTCATCAGTAATCTGTCAATCTGTGTAAGAACGTTAGGCACCATAAATACTAAAGAGCAATTAACTGCTTATGATACTTACTACATTCAATGCAGCGGTTCCCAAACCACTCATGACGCAACAGTCCAGGTTTTACCAGTATCTCCTTTGGAATAAAAAAAAAAAAAAAAGAGGAAATCCTGGATTGTTGGTGGGCCATGAGGAATGGTTTGGTAATTTATTTCATGCATGATCTATAGAATAAATCAGTAAAAAGTAGGGTAACAAAAGTATTCTGTGTCCTTTTAATGCAATTTTATGTTACTCACCAACTGTTTGTACCTGCAGAGAGCTAAGTAACTACACCTGCATGTATGTATGTATGTATGTATAGATTGGAATTGTGAATGCCACCCCAAGCCAGGTTGTTAAATGTAAGGGAACAAGGAGTATGACCAAGTCAGGAAGATGTTTTCCAGATAAAAGAGAGAGTGTTTTACAATATTACCAGGTGAGGGGCTATCCCGTAATTTGAAGGGATTGAAATTTTTTTAATAAAAATCAAACCTTCAGGTTCCTGGGAGCTGAACAGATAAGACATCTGGACCTCTACACAAAACAAGGTTTCTAAACTACAACTACTGACAGAGACATACACACCTTTCCTGTAATACGTTTAATGTTTAAACGTAACTTCTAAAGATGAAATTGCAGGACACAAATACCAAATGCACGAGTAAAGGTTCTCTCCAAAATACAAGTCTTGGTAACAACAACCGAAAATAATTACACCAGTAATCTTACAGTGGCAGATGTCAAATACAAAGTATTAAAGGATGCAGTTTAAATTTACAAATAATCAGTGAGCATACAGTTAAAAGCAATGCAAAGTTATACAATTGGTAGAAATTGAGCTTCAGTATAGTGTGTATGTGTGTGTAATATATATATATATATATATATATATATATATATATATATATATATATATATATATAATATAATATAGTGTTTTACAATCCTGTACATACCCCAACATTTAACTTACTTGGAGTACTTTAAAATTAATGGAAAAATAACAAAAAGGTACAGGAGAATGTATGACACACACGAATATGTTGCAATACTTGCTGGCGCCAATATATTGCTTATTCTTAAGAAACAATTAAAGATTACTCCAGCCTGGCACCCCAGAGATCAGGGGTAGGCAACCTTCCACATGTTTTACACTACAGCTCCCACAATGCTTTGCTAGCATTATGGGAGATGTAGTCCACACCATCTGGAGTGCAGAAGCTTGTCTGCTCCTGTCTTAAATATTAGTGCAGGAATAAGTAACCTTTGGCACTCCAAATGTTTTAGACTACATCTCCCATGATGCTCTGCCGGCATTGTGGCTGCAAGAGGATTATGGGAGATGTAGTCCACAACATCTGGCGTGCGGAAGGTTGTATACCCGTGACTAGTGCTATGGCCTACAAGCAGCAGCCCATAGACAGAAAGACAGACAGACAGACATAGCGTATCTGACAACGAACCCCCCCCCTATCTGGTTATATAAGCCCCCGGGCTCCATGGTAACCAGCACGGGCTGTCAGTCACTCTCAGCCCGGCGCCATTATCCGAGCTATACTCACCGCTCACGGTAAGAAGAAGAAGGAGGCTCGGTGACGGCTGCTTTGCTTCTGGCTCTCACACAGACGTTAATACCTAATACCGGCCAACACCCCTACTGGCAGAGCCACGCCCACACTGTCACTTCCGCATTACTGGGCGCAGGGAGCGGATGGGCGGCGTCAAAACCATAACTGGAGGAGGGGGGGGGGTTACCCCGGTGATAGCAAGGTAGTAACCTGGCAAAATAATGATACGTCCGTTACAGGCACGAGCAAGACATAAATACGTACTTTGTATTCTCCACACATAATGATTCCTGAGTCGAGTATCGAGAAGGAGCTACGCAATAATAAGGCTGCTCCCCCCCCCCCCCAGTTTGCGAGTTGGTTGCTCCCACTCTGTAGGGCCGGACGCATTCCATGGGAGGTGACGTTGACGAGTCTGACACATGCCCTAATATGGAAGCAGAGGCTGAGGTCTCGCGGGATTTGCTGCCCCAGGGGAGCCAGGGGAGAGCGGTCTCCAGGCAGCTGCTGTGTGTGTCTGCGAGCATTGGGTTTACATAGAGCCTCAGTAATGGCGATAGGAGCCCAGTCTGTGTGTGTGAGTCAGTGTTCAGACGGCTGGAATGTGTGAAGCCCAATATTAATAGAGGGCTTTATTTTAACTGTATGGGGTGGGTGGGGGGGGGAGTGGAACCTTTATGTGAGGGTCTGTGGTTTATTATTAGTATTGACATTTATATAGCGCCAACAGATTCCGTAGCGCTTTACAATATTATGAGGGGGGGATGTAACTAGAAATCGGACAATTACAAGAAAACTTACAGGAACGATAGGTTGTAGTTATGATTAGTTTAGACATTTTATCTAGCAAAAACGTATTCCGCAGCACTTTACAATATCACGGTGTTAACTTTAAAAGCCCTGCTGATTATTTAAAATGCGAAGCGGGTTATATGAACATACCTCAAGGGCTGTGTTTTACAGCATCTCATATGACTCTAGAAGTGTAGGCTACATGTATTCTCTTATTTTTATAAAGGTGTGTAGAAATCCTAGGATATGCAACCATCGACACTCCTGATGTTGTGGACTACATCCCCCATAATGCTCTTAGAACCATAATGCTGACAAAGCATCATGGGAGTTGTAGTCCAAAACAACTGGAGTGCCGAAGGTAATCTAATCCTTTGCTGCTGTTTGTATTCCAGATTCCTAAAAATAAATAAATAATCTGGATTTTTGATACCATGTAAATTCAGTCTGTTAGCTGAAATACTGATAGCTTTACCATGTTACTATAAAGAGCCCCAACTAATGACCCTCAATGGCAGATACAATGTATATAGCGCCAGCATATTCCACAGTGCTGTACAATAGGAAACAAGACAAACATTTAATTCTAACAAAACATGTATGATACACAGGAATAATATGTGAAGAGGGCCCTGCCTAAATGACCTCACAATCTAAATCAGTGGTAGTCAACCTTTTTCTACCTACCGCCCATTAATGCATCTTTTTGGTTGAAAACATTTCCTTACCGCCCACCAGTTTTCGCGCAAGTGCAGAATATTTTTTTAGAAAGGAGGGTGTTTAAAAAAAATAAATGTACGTACATTTATCTTTTTATTTCTACTTAATGCATGTTTATAATGTTTTTAACTTTATAAAGTTTAATGAGAAAACAATAAAGTAAATTGAAATTAACCTTACTAGTGATTGAGATCCTTGAGGTTGATGCTGCAAGCCTAAATATTTGATATCTGGTTCGATTTTTGTAAGGAACAAACAAAGGTCTCCTCTTTCGGTGATATTCAGACGACTTCTCTGTTTGTGCATAATATGATTTCTCATCTGTGCATCTGCTCTCCTCAATTCCCCTCCTCACCTCCCCTTAATTTTTAACCTTCCTTATAGCAATGCCCAGTAGGCAGGCCGAGCTAGGTATCCCACTTACTATTACTTACAATAGCCCACTATAACAGACACACACACACACATACATACAGACAGACAGGCACACATACATACAAAGACACATACATAAGACATACATACAAAGACACATACAGACAGACACAAGACACAAATACATACAAAGACATACACACACAACACATGCATACAAAGACAAGACACATACATACACACACACACACACACATATATACAGAAAGACACACACATACACAAGACATACATACAAAGACACATACACAAACAAATACACACAAAATATTTTAGTCACCCTCCTGTTTCCTACCTTTTAGGTGCAGGAGGGTGACTTTCCCTGGGGTCCAGTGGTGGCTCAGGTGGATGGGAGTCAGAGTTCCCACTCTGACTCCTTCCTCCCACACGGTCTGCCTGTTAGCTGGGGGGAGTGACGTGCAGTCACTTCCTCCCAGCACTGTGATGTAATCACATGGGGCCCGGTCGCGCTGTTAAAGCGCCTATCGCTGACCGGGCCCCCTCACAATCCACATCCATCGGGTGGCCCTGACAGCATGGGCCACCCGATGGACCCCTCCATATGTGGCCCCGGCGGCTTGCCACGCGTGCCGGAAGTGGTGATGGCGGTACTCGGTCACCGTGGTACCGCCGGCTCGCACCCACCCGCCCAATCTCTCAAAATTAGAAAATCCCTACCGCCCACCTGGTATCCTGAAACACCCACTAGTGGGCGGTAGGGACCAGGTTGACGACCCATGATCTAAATAAATGAGAGATGATCACTCAAAGGAAGGTAATCAAGTGATTGGAATTAATTGAAAAGGATGGGAGGGGGAGCACATTAGATAGGAGACAACAAAGAAAGGCTATCGGGCACGGTAGGCAACCTTTGGCCCTCCAGATGTTGTGGACTACATCTCCCCTGTTACTTTTCCAGCGTTACAGCTTTAAGAGCATTATGGGAAATGTAGTCCACTACATCTGGAGTGCCGAAAGTTGTCTATTCCTGTTGTAGGGGGATGATGCATTAAAGAGAAAGCTAATAGTCTTCTATAAAGATCTATGCTTTAAGGGATTTTGTTTTTCTTTCAGGATGGCAGCAATACAGAGTTGGGTGTCCTGTGGGAGGGCATGCTATAAAGAGGGGAAAGGCTGAAGAAGTCATGCAGGCGACTGTCTGGGGGTGTGAGTGCAAGAACGGGACAGTTAACAGGTCATTAGTTTAGATGGAGCATATCTGCTAATATCTGCTAATGGGGGGAGGAGATGTAAGCAGTGGGGGTTTAGAGAGCTTTGTAAGTAAGCACAAGAACTTTGAACGGAATCCAAAATGGAATTAGACTGGAAGAGGGCTGAGATGTTCATTACGGACTGGGCACTTCTCAGGATGACAAGCAGAAGGTTACAATAATCAAGGGGGAAAACGTGAACTTAGACAAGGGTTTTAGTTGCATTTGGAGTGTTAAAGGGGTCGATGCAAGATGTTTTTAAGGTGAAAGCAAGAGGGTCTGATGATATATTTTATGTAAGTGGTTAAGGAAAGCTTGGAGTCAAAGAGCACACCAAGACTGCACTTATGGGGTAGAGTTTATGATCGCTCTGTTGACCTTAAGGGAAACCAGCAAAGACACAGTTTTAAAAGGAGCAAAGACATGGAGTTTGGTCTTGAATAGTTTTGCGTATTGTAAAGTCCTACAATAAAATAAAAAAAAAATATGATAGGAAGGCGGTGACACAATTCAGCAGACAAGGAGATAAATCAGGAGAGGTAGGTTTGGTTATCAGATCCAGAGCAGGACACACTGAAACAGTAGTCAGAGAAGTACGAAGAGAACCAGTGTCCTCCAGGTCAAGGCTGCAGAAGTTGAGCAGGAGAAGTGAGTGGTCAAAAGTGGCATAAAGATCAAGAAGAATAAGTATCGAGTAGTAGGCTTTGAATTTAGCTGTCACCTTGGTCAGGGCAATCTAATTGGAATGTTGGGAGTGGAAGCCAAACTGTAGGTGGTCGCATAAGGAATTGAAGTGTAGATCTGTAAGTTGAGTATGAACAAGTCTTTCAAGGAGCTTGGAGACAAAAGGAAGGAGAGAGATAGGACAATAGCTGTCAGGCTTCCTTCCCGCCAGAACTCCGGGTACCGCGGTCCCCTCCGGCATTTTGTCTGACTCGTACATATGCATTGTGTACAAGTATGCGCCCAAATAAACTACCGAATTTCAGCGTTAGCCTAACCAAACGCGGCATTTGGTAGACCGAATTCGGCGCATGAAAATGACAGGTTAGGAAGGTACCTTCCACGAATAGTGGTCAATTCCAAGCTGAATTGGACCAATCAGAAGTAAGGGATGCCTATTTATACTTACCTCTCCCATGCCTTGTTGCCCTGTTGTGGTTTTTGGTAGCTCAGTAGCACATTCCTCTTGTGATATCTGGTTATATTATCTGGCTCTTGTATTAAGTTTATCCTGTCCTCCGTACTCCTTTGACCTCGGCTTGTTACTGACTGTGTGACACTTGCACTAGTGTTGGTTCTGTGTTTTGATTCCCATTTTATTTCTAGAATTTATTTTTTTCATCTGTTTATTCTTGCTTTTTTGCTTCATTTTTTTTTTGGCACTGTGTAACTTGTCTTTTTGTTATTAAAAATTAATACTCTAATTCTGTCTTTGGTTTTAGAATCTGTATCCACATACCTTGTGTATATTGTGTAACATTTATATTGCAAATGGTGTTTTCTTTTTCTTTTTATATTAAATCTATTTGCTTGGAGCAACTAAAGACGCTCAATTATAAACTGACTTGGTGATGGCAGCGTTTGATATTCGAGTTATGTGTGGTGGTGTTAAGTGGGATTTTTTTTCATTATTCTTGGTCTAGTGCAGACAAATCGTAATTACTAACCCTTTTACTGCCAGAACCAATTCGCAATCAAGCTTGGAGTATTGTCTTTGACACCTTATTCCCCAAAAAAGAGCTCTTTTATATTCCTTTAATTAGGAAGCTTTTGAGAGATGAAAACACAACACTACTAAAACTCTCCATACTAATATGAAAAATGATTTACTTACTGCTAAATCCAAAGGTCAAAATATTAATTTATACTTAAGTTTTTTCTTTAGGTTTTGACATGCATTCTTTTAACCCTCCACAGTCTTCACAATACCATCTGTTCCTCGACACTCTTCACATCCGATCCTGGTTCTCATCCTACTTCTTCCAACACTCATGCATTGTTTCATTTTCTGGCTCCACCATCTTTACATTACACATCTCACTTGGACTCCTACATGGCTCAGTTCTTGGGTCCCTTTGGTTTTGCCTTCTCTTTATATTGCCTCCTTTGGTGATTTATTATATTTTTTAGATTTCAGTACTTTCTATATGCTGGCTGTTGTGCCCTGCAAGCACAATTCCTTGTTGCACTATCAAAATATTGTGCTTAAGTATAGTATAAACATGTACCGATTACCTGATGGAGGCCATAGTGCTGATTACACTATGGACGGCTTAATTTGGTTGTATAGGAATGTGTTGTCTGTCTGTGATATTACAGGAATTGATTTGCAAAATCAATTATCCCTTTGAAGCATTGCACCCAGCAGTGTCCCTCTGCTAAATGTAAATTTGTACACCTAAACTGCCAGTAGGCTTATATTTTCTTAGCCAAGGTAACTACAATCTATTTGCCTGTGTTTCTTCATAGATTTTGGTCCATTTTTGTATGCTTAGTTACTATTACCAGCCAGGAGACAATTCTCTGCCAAGGGGTATAACAAAGCAAACCAATAATATTCATGACAGCAACAGTGTACCCTACAAAAGAAATACAAATAGGACTAGGGTAACGTAACCTGTGGGGTACATGTATATTTATTTTATTGTCTGTTCTTTCCCTTTAAGTTCACAGGTCTAGGGACAATCAACATCATATTTAAGACTGCCCTGTAAGTGAACCTGTGCACCCTTAATGAGCTGGCACCAGCCTGTCATGCTCCTTTTCAAGTCACTGAAATCATGAGGGTGGCGAGAATTCTAATTGGCAGTCGTGTTTGATAGGCCGAAATGTATTCTACAGTCTCTGAAATACCACATTGCAGGCAATAATGCCAGAAATCTCAAGTCATGTTTGCCAGAACTATGGAGCATGTGCCACCTGATGTTTGATGTATCTGACAGCCAATATGTTGTCCAGAGCATTAAGATCTTGTTTGGGAGAAGTTCTTAACCACGAAAGGTCCAGCTAAAAGCTTCAGTTAATTGATATGTAGGCAGGTTTCTTTGTCAAAATATTTCCACAACGTTCACCCCATCCTTACAAACTCGTGTCTGACTCTATTATTATTATATATTGGGCCATTCTGAAAGTGGCACGTTTGGTCCAAGAATCCATGTGGCAAAGCCACCATTTTAGTTCTTCATTGGCTTCCAGATCCAAGATGATTGCGTTCTTGTGTGATGCATCTTTCCATAGGTACGATTCTTGAAGACGTTAAAGTGTCCTGTAATAGAGAGAGCTAGGCAAGTTCACCTGGATAGATGCGCCAGAAGCACGATAATGCATACTAGTTGTTTGAGGGAAATCTGTTGAGCAAAGAACAAGCGAGATATTTCTTTTTTAAAGCACTTCATCTTTGTCATGG